ACCACCAATTATCCTGAATTTCAAAATCATCACCACAAGTGTCTCACTTGGCTAGTTATGGTGGAAAAGCATATTAAAAGGGCCCTTGAGTGTACTGTTACTACACGACAGAACATAAACTACACATAGAGACTTCTGTTTTTGTTTTCTATGAAATGAAGAATCATTTCCACCATACATGTTAGGAATTTTGTTTTCAAACCTGAGGCATAAAAATAAATAAGACTCCTCACAAAAATAGAGAAGACACACGTCAAAGAAAAAACAATCATATACAAGATAGTATTTACGTGGTTTGACAATTTATCTATATCCACGAAGCTGCAAGTATTTTACTATGAAGAAGAAGGAATACAGATGGTGGCTAAACAATACCAATCAAACCCTATGTCTTAGAAAATTTCTCATTAAAAAATCACACAATATTATTTCGGGTCGAGTTATCATCCGAATCAACACAAACTAGGCTCCATAAAAAAACCCAATAGTACACTGATGAGATTAATTTACAAATCTCGAATATGCATAACCACACATTAATTATATGTATCAAACTAACTATTGTGACATGAATCAAACTTGAACATGAATTAATAATAATGTCTACATTCAAAACACCATATTAAACAAGAAAAAGGAAGATATAAGCCGTGTTTGGTAACGTTTTTATTTTTATATTTTTAAAAAAAATAAAAACATAATCAATTTTCATTTTGTTTTATGTGATAAAAAGTTAGAATAGAAAACGCATTTGGTTAAAGTTTTATTTTAGAAAATCTAAAACCTAAATCAAAAAATATGTTTGATAGTCACTTTAACTTATGTAATATATTTTAGTTGGTTTCATAGGAACCAAGGCCTTCTGGGGCTTCAAAATTTGGAAGGAGAAATTATTCAATTTCACAAACCTAGAACACACGCGCGCGCACAGAAACACATGCCTTTTGTGGCTTCAAAATTTAGAAGAAAAAATTACCCAATTTCACAAACTCAAAACACACCCACAATACACAAATGCACACATATCCAACACGCACACCCAGACATAGATCTAACAATGTATATATCATCAGATCGATCTATGGCTATGGAGATCGATGTTCTTTGTGGCTATACAGATCTATGGAGGCTGAGTTTGATCTTCTTTGTTGTTGTCGATTCCTCTTGTTGAAGAACACACCAACAAGAGAGAGAGAGACAGAGATAGAGAGGTGCATAGATGAGAAAAGGGGAGGGATTTTTATATTCAACCAAGAAAAAATATTTATTTGTTACTAAGAAGGATTGAAGTCGGGATTTCATTAATTCTAGGATGAAGGGTGCACCTATTTTTTTTTTGGTGTTTATGAAAACACTTTTTTTGTGTTTTCACTTTTTGGCTTTGTTTTTAAAACAAAATTGCTTAAAAAACAGAAACACATCACAAATATATTTTTATTTTTTATTTTATTTTTGAAAAAAAATTAAAAACAAAAAAACTTCTTGTTATCAAACGCAACCATATGTTTCCCAAACATGGAGTTAAATGGTAAGCATCACTTGCCGTTATAAGTGTAACCCTTCATTTTTGTGGTTTATTTTAACACTTTAAAATCGAGAAAACTAAAATTTCTTGTCTTTCATTTTAAACAATCAGTTATTCCAAAAATTTAAAATGTTAGAAAAAGTGTAACTTAAGTATTTATATTTTAACACGCATCCTTACGTAAAAATCTTTTTGATATAATGTTAAACAATCATTTACTCCATAAGCTTAAACCGTTGAAAATAATATAATTTAAATATTTATACTTCAACATCCCTTCATTACCAAAAGATTTTTTATTTTTTTGCATGCTTGTATATTTAAAAAAAAAAACCATGATTAAGCTCTCCAGAAGCAAGATCTGACTGTTTGGTACTACCCTCGTGGATTAGAAAGGCATGTTTGTAGTCTTCTTCAAAACCAACTAGGATACAATAATACATTGGCAGTTGGTAGTGGTAGAGTCAATTCACCCATAAGGCTCATTGATTCTCACATTGTTAGCATTAATACCATGTTACCCCACACAAGATTTGAATTAGACATTTTCCTAACCCTATGTCCACAGCTGCCTTAATCATTTTGCAATTGCATTGGACTACTATGGAAACTTACCAAGCTGACTTAAGGCAATGTTGATGAATTCAACCACTCATATGTACTTGAACCAGAGGTCTAATAAGGCAGCTTTTCTTAAGGGATGCCAATTTTTGAAATGACACATTAACATACACTAACTTGAAAGTGAGTTGAATCATTTAACAAGATAATAAGTCGGGTAAACGTCAATCCTGAACAATCAGAGTTATATCCTACAAAACCGTTTTTGCTGCTAAAATAAGAATAAAATTTTAATTTTTTAATTTCTTGATATTGTTGTATGAATTGCTGAAAAATTAAACTACTTTTTATTTGGTTTTATTAGGATGCGAATCAAGTAGATTTTTAGTTTATAGAGACCTAAGTGGGTGGATTTGATAAAGAGATAAAAAAATAAAATTATTGCGTTACAGTTTTTTATTTACATGCTGCACAAAAAAAAAACACGAGCATAATATGAATCCAAAATGATATATTTTCAACGGGATACAAAACAATTTAAGCATGATATAAATAAAAAATAACATGATCGGAAGAGATTGCATTAACACCCATAATTTATTTTCAAATTCCTTACATGGGGTTGGGCTCCACTCCCCCTTGTATCACTTAGATAATTTGAAGAGAATCACGTGCAATGTTAGAGTGGCGAGTGTAGTCATCCACAGAAGTCCACAGAATTAATAAAACTTAAAGAGAAGTGTGATTGTCTTTGGGACCCATCTGAAAATGACTCAATCATGTGATTCATCTATCAATTCGTTTGCATTGACCCACTTCTCATTTATAGTTTATTAGTAATGCACCCCTAACTAAAATTACGGTGTAAATTATATGACACTAATATAATGATGTATTTCGTCCTATTTTTATTTATTTAATATTCAAAATTTACTTATTATGTTAGTTGTCATATCATTTGGACTCTATTTTTTATTTTATTTTATTTTTTGATCAGCCTAACATTATTAATGATGATGTCATAAATTGCACCTCAGCCAAACTCGTCACTGACCAGACTAAGCCCAAGTCATCCGCCATAAGTAAACTAATTCCCAGATCACCAAGTAGTACTCGGATATCTCAGCAAATCTATCTTATCTCGGATAGTAAATCACCACCTCAAGAATGCCAACTCGCTGTTTCTAGAAGATCAAGTGCCCTATAGATACGTGATTGCTTCTAACGACCCAAAATTCAAACAAATTTGATGGCGGAATCGTACCAATCTTGGATAAGGACAAAAGATTATTCTTATAAAAATAAGAGAATATGTTCTACGAAAAAAGGGATCAAACCCTCCGTAAACCGTCTTTTTTTTCTTGGTCAGTTTTGAGAATACACAGAGAAGTAAGAGATTCTATTGACAGTAGACTATCCTAGCTATTCAGGTTTGATGAACCACTCATACATACGGTTGTCTGTTTTATTTGTTTTCTGACTGTTAACATGAATATTTCAGTCAATCATTCGACACTCAGGACCCTCTCATGCTCTATTTTTCACACCATCAATCATAGAATATACACTTTACTAGCCATTTTAGTCAAATTAAATAAATTGCCTAATGGTTGTGATACTGGAATAGAACAAGTCCACCATGGATGCACACTCCTTGCAGGTGACAACCCATTCCTTTGTCTACGTTCTCTGTCTCTGGCCATGAATGGGCAAACTTTAAATGACTAAATAAAAAAAATCAACTTAAACAAATGCACTTAACAATAAATGTGCTTGGGATGTAAATTATCTAATAATATCCACATTTTCAACATTTTCATAGAAGGAAAAAAATTGAAATCTCTTGACTAGAAAGAAAAAAAATGCAAAAATAAAATAAGTACCACCAAATTAAAGAATAAAAATGTATATGGAAGACTTGAACCCTTGATCATAACAAGACAAAACCTTTACAAGACAAGGAATACCATTGGACCAAAGACCCATTGATTATATGAAATATATATAAGGAAAAGATATTGCGGTCTTTGATTGAGCACAATGAACAATCAAATTTCATATAGTCAATCTCGAATAATTTTATTTTTATGAGAGACTCTAAATAACTAGAATAAATCTTCTATTGAGTTGGGAATAAGTTCGTCAATGAACTGGATTTTGAATGATATGAATTAAAATATAATTTTAAAAGTTTGATCTAATTATTCGATGATTTTATTTTTATGGTGCCTATAACAACTCAAAATTCGATCTGAATTTTACTAAAATTTAACAAACTATATTTAAATTTCGTAAAATCAAATAGTGAATTCAAATTCAAGTTTGAATTATCGATAAAAGTATTTTAATTTATATCTCATTAATCGAATTTGGATAAAAAATCGATATATTCACTCCTTGAAGTTAAAGAAGGGAGAAATTTAAAAAGTAGTTCAAATGGTAACAAAAATGAACTTAAATTTTGATATTTTTTTTGGGTCAATAACTATAAGGTTGTATAAATTAATCCAAATATGTTGACCGTTAAAAAAAAAATTGCAAAAAGAGAAGTGGCAGAAATTTTGTGTAAATGAAGAGGTAATTGGGTGATTGGAATGAATCCCGGCGAACGCTCCTTTTTTCCACTTTCCATAAACCACAATCCATCATCTACATGAGTCTTGGCCTAGGGGCTCTTTCTTTATTGTCTTTTGATAACTGCCACATGATTGATGTGCATTTGCCTATCTTTTCCTGGAAAAATAAATTGCTTTTTCCTGACCTCCCCCACAACAGCCTTTGTCCTGTGTCTTGCAAAAGTTGCTTATACAAATCTGAAAAAAGAAAGGTGTACTGAGATACCCACATTCAGACACACCATTCAAAATTGAAACACACAATATCAGACAACAAACAAGTTATTCAAAACTCATCCCTCTCTCTCTCTCTCTCTCTACCCCTCTGTGGGTGTGTGCTTGTGTGCATTTTTGTGTAATTTGAACCAGGAAAGGAGATGAATCTGCTGTTGCTGCTAATACCCATTTGGCTTTTTAGCTACACTTCGTTTGCAGCTCCAATGGATGTCAGACCAGACTCTCCTCTTTCTTCCATCGGTGACCCAGTTCTTCCCACTGAGAAAGAGCCCCTTTCTCAAACTTCTTCAGACATGGAAGCCCATTCTCCAGGTAATCCAGCAGTGCCCATCATCATCTTTTTCTTCATTTTACATAATAGGTCATAAATTACCCTTCTTTTGGTTCATCATTTACTTGTAGGGGTTCACAGACCATCCCCTGTTAGACTGATTAATTCAGGCAACAAATTCCGCAATTAGCCTAAGATTAATTACATAGTATCATACAATGATAGCTTTGCTTAATTTGTTCCAACAAAGTGCAGCTTTAGATTATCCACAGGGATAATGCAGCCCCATACTTGGTAATTATAACTGGTTTTACTTTATGAAAGTAGGATATTATCTATTCTTTTACATTATTTTTCTCTTTTTTGTTTAAGTGTCCATTCATGAGTTGACAAGTTTATTTCTGAATCAATCAAATTTTGCTAAAGCATATTCATTTGCTTTTGAAATCAGGAATGCCAGAGGTCAGAATAGTGCACCACCAGGATTTGAACAAGAAAATTTTAATTGCTCTAATTGTCTCTTCAGCTCTTCTTGGTGGAATTCTGTTGTTTCTCTCTTGTTTCTGGATCTACAGACTGAAAAATTCGAAGAAATCTAATGCACAAAGCCAAGAGAGCTTGGGTATCTTCTTTTCCATGAATATTTCCATTCACTGATTCCCTTCATGTTTTTGGGTTAGACTTCCTTGTTTTACTTATGCCCCTCTCGCTGTCTCTGTGTCTGATTTTGGATTTCAATTTGAAGATGCTTCAAAAGGTCTCTCATTGGGTCCAATATTGGGTAAATTCACTGCTTTGAGAACTGCTGGTAAGAAGGGTTCAGTCGATGCTATTGAATATCAGCTTTTAGTAGCTGCAACAAACAGCTTCCAAGAATCCAATGTTTTGGGGGAGGGTGGATTTGGACGTGTGTATAAAGCTCGCTTCAATGATAACTTCCTTGCTGCTGTTAAAAGACTTCGTGGTCAAGGCCAGGATACTGAAAGAGAATTTGAGGTAATTTTTTTAGCTGAACTCTTCTGAGGGGATATGATTTTCCATTGTTGATTTGCTTCTCAATCGGAATTGCAGAATGAGGTTGATTGGCTAAGTAAAATTCTGCATCAGAATATAGTTTCCCTTTTGGGTTATTGCATTCATGGCGAGTCGAGGTTTCTGATTTATGAAATGATGCACAATGGTTCCTTGGAGTCCCAATTGCATGGTAAAAAGGTTTTCTCATTTCCATATGTTATGAGGAAGAAGACCAGAGAATAATGGATGCATTAACTTTTTTCCTAATGCCTATCTTGTCACTGCTGGCATAGGACCTTCTCATGGATTAGCTTTGACTTGGCACCTCCGAATGAAAATTGCACTAGATGTTGCAAGGTATTTCCTTTTTGGCAATTGTTTTTTTCAAGTTCCTTTCTGAATTTGCAGAATCTCGTAAACTATCTTTGTTCTTATCAGAGGACTAGAATATCTTCATGAGCGATGCAGTCCTCCTGTGATCCATAGAGATATCAAATCATCTAACATTCTTTTGGATTCCAACTTCAATGCTAAGGTAAATTTTCTTATGTGATGACACATGTCAAAATTCACTTGCTTACTTTTGTTGTTATCCTTGATGTTGACTAAAATTTTCTCGTTTCCAGCTTTCTGATTTTGGCCTTGCTATAACTGGTGGCACTCACAACAAAAGCAACATAAAGCTTTCAGGAACTTTGGGCTATGTGGCTCCAGAATATCTTTTAGACGGTATGTGAAAGCTTGATATGACTGTTAAGTTCTATCCTTTAAATGCTCCTTCTGCAGTAATCATCCTTCTTCCAGCATCTTAGATGTCCATGTTATAGTTTTGATATTTTGACAACAACTGCAATATGTCTACCTCTATACCTCAGTGGTGTTTCGTATTTAAATCCCAATAGCAAGATATTGGAATTGAGAGAATGTGGTTATGGAAAGGGGAGTTCTATCCCCTAATGTGTAGCCAATTTCATTGGACCAAAGTAGGAAAATATCTCTAAATCTATTACATTTTGAACTTTCCTGATAGCACTTTATGTGGAAGCATAATTAGCTTTATTCTGTCGCACATGGCAATATGCTTGCATATTGAAGACAATAATTTCCGTATTGTAGAAATACTAGTTTCTAGGAATTTTCTCCAGTGACGATGCATGTTTGTATTTTCCTTCTTTCAATCTCGTTTTCAGTAAGCTCTTAAGTTTCTCCCTTCAAAATAATTGTTTTTCTTTTCACTTCCTTTACTTTTCCACCATATTTTTTGCATTAATTTGCAATTCCTCGGTGCCATTTTCAAGTTTTCACATCAGCACACCTGGCTTAGAATATGGCTTGAAAAACCTGTTTTCTAACACGAAGATAAAGTAAACTCTCTCTACTTGGCTATGTAGACCACACACTTTTCTGTAAATCTCACAATGCTTCTTGCCCTGGAATCTCAGTTCTTTCAAGCAAAAATATATTCTTGGGCAAGGATTTGTTTCATTGCTTTTAGAGGAAGCCTGTTGTATTATGATTCTAATGTTAGTCTGTTCTATTCATGATGTATCTGTAAAGCCTACAGATTCTAAAGTTGCCCTGAACCAATCCAATAATTGGGAAGCAGCCACCTAATTTAGAAGGAAAAAATATTTACTAATTCTTAAGGACTCGAAATTCATGTCAACACCACATCTCAACTTTCCATGTTTGCAATTTTGGTTTGAAAAATCCTGTGGATCCACCCTCCCCTTAAACCAGAGTGCCTTGAGATTCAACAAAAGACTCACAGATAAATTTATCATTGGTCATTTTTCAGGTAAACTAACTGATAAAAGTGACGTCTATGCTTTTGGTGTTGTTCTTCTGGAGCTTTTGATGGGAAAAAAGCCTGTGGAAAAAATGTCCCCATCTCAATGCCATTCTATTGTCACATGGGTATATTTTCCCTCAGCTCCCCATAGTTAGCTATGAAGCTTTGAGTACAAGGTCTTGTAGTGTAATTTTCTGTTGTTGATAAGCAGGCCATGCCTCAGCTGACTGACAGGTCAAAGCTCCCAAACATCGTGGATCCTGTTATCAGAAGTACAATGGATGTCAAGCACTTATATCAAGTTTGTTCCCTGAAACTATTATTTACTCAATTATGAATTACTCTTTTCTATTCCTCAATTGAATTATATGCATCAACTTGGTTAGGTTGCAGCTGTAGCCGTGCTATGCGTGCAACCAGAACCAAGTTACAGGCCGTTGATAACAGATGTCCTACACTCCTTCATCCCACTTGTGCCTGTTGAGCTTGGAGGGTCACTAAGAGTTGCTGACTCTGTGTCCCCTGCCAGAAGCTAGAGTTATTATCGCTGATAATATAAATGGGCTTGGGCTTGCATTCAAGGCAGCACTGTCATATTTTCTTCATCATTCAAAGCTGAGATGTATCGGAGAGCCCAGCTTCCTCTTCCCCACCCACCCCCCAAAAAACAAAAATTAATTGTTACCTCAATTGCCTTTTTTGTTTGAGAATCAGAAGCAGAAAATTGTTGCAGAGAAAATTTTGCTTTTGTTTGTACAGTTGTAAATGCAGGAGATCTTGTTTTTGACTCTTATTTAAAAAGTAGCATGTGCTAGTTTAGATATTTCGGTTTGTGTCCATCACATGGCTCAATCAAACTGAGCTGTTCTGTGTGTTATGTTACATAGATGTGCTACACTTGCTTATTGAGATATTTAGGACTTGTTGGCTCATTATTTTGGGCTATCACAAATTACTTCTGCCATGAGCCAGTGACTGCTGTCAGGGTCTTCCAGTTCACATAGTGAAATTCTCTTTTCAGCATATGACCTTCAATTACCTTAAATGTTCTTAATCCAGTTATTTGAACCTGATTACATAGAGCAAAAGAGGGTTGGTCCGGTGGTTGGCGCCTTCCCCACCTTGCTCCCCCAAGTCAAGGTTCGAGTCTCATCCTCTCATCGTCGGCTTACATGCCTTAATTTCAATATATAATGAATGTTCCAAGGCAGAAGAGCTTCAAAGAGAGGAGGCAGACCAGAACCATTTGTGTGTGTGTGAGAGAGAGAGAGAGAGAGAGACCTCAAGACCCAAGGTTGGTATTTCACACCTAAGGCAGGAGAGCCAGTGACCGAGGCCACAATCTGGACGAATTATACTTCTCACATAGCAAATTATACTTCATATCCTGGGAATTCCAAGAAAATTTCAACTTGTTTTAACTAATGTTATGTTTCATTGTTCTTGAAGTTT